GAGCCTGTCGGGGAAGCACGTGTGGAAGTTTAGGTGAGAAGGAAGAGCCGGAATCCTCTGCCTTGTTCTCATCTTGGGGGACCCTTCTCCTCTCCTCAGCCTGTGCACACACTCGCCTTGGGGACTGTATTAGGGGAGACAAAGTGTTCCAGCCCACAACTTCCAAATTTTGCCATAACACACGCAAGATTTGTTAGGTGTTCACCCTATAGCACATCTGTGGCCGTGGGAGGTGCCTGGTCCCCTAGGATCCCATTTCCAGCCTGCAGCTGCAGCACGAGGGAGGGGTGGTCATGGGCCACCCCTGCCACTGTGGCGTTCAGGGGCCAGTGCCATAGGACAAGCTCCTTCTGCAGAGGGTAGCCTGTGGCACCTGACGCATTTGGAGTTGACCAGTGTCAGGAGGCCTGCATTGCCCCTCCCTTCCCCCAACCGTCTCCAGAGGCCCCATTTTGCCCTCCCCCTCCTCCAGGAGGCCGTTTGTGACCCCCCCAAGCAGGAGAAAGTCACCGTGCTTCACGGGATGCCCCTTCCCGTAGGCCTGCGTCGTTCCCTTTGCTCTTCTGAACTTCCAGTTGCGCTCAGCACTCGTTAGCAAGCTCTTCCCTCAGGCCAGTGTTCTGGGTCCTGGGGATGCCAGGCCAGCCCTGGTGTGTGGAGATCTCAGGACCTGCAGGGCAAGTCAGGGTTAGAGGGGTGACTTTATACTCAGAAGAAAGGTAGCAGTCCCATAAGGATACGCAGGGCATCCCTGGGTGACACCAGGGAGCCATTAAATCTTCCTGTTTGGGGTGGAGCGAGTGGAGAAGTCCGGAAAGGGATTGAACTTTGGAGCTGGGACTTGTCACCGTGGGGACCAGGGGATGTGGGGCTGGGGGACATTCTGGGCAGAGGGGTGGCTCACACAGGAGCTCATCTACCATGCAGGGCCTGGAGCGGCATGTAGCTGTGTTGCTTGGGCCAGCTTCCGGAGTGAGCTGGGACACTCGTGTCACTGACCGAGAGCCTGGAGAAGGGAGCACAGGGACTCTGTGTGCCTGACACCCCGGCGGTGCCCAGAGAACACTTGTCAAATGAATGAGTGAGCAAGCGGAGGTGGGAAGTTATCAAAGCACCCGGAGAGGTATTAACACTGCTTCTGCTGTGCGTCTGCCCTGCTCCCCATCTGTGAATGGGATGTTCTAATCCACCAAAATAACCCAGTAAGTTAACATCCTCAGGTTGTGGAGACTGAGGCACAGAGCAGTTAAATCGCCTGCCCCGCCCAGGAGCACCTGAGCTGTGATGGGGTTTCCAGGCGTCTGCCATGTCCCTCTTCCTCCCAGACCAGGTGGTGGGAGCCGCAGGGATGGTCAGAGTCTGGCTCACATTGGACACTAGGCTGGGCCTGGTTGGTTGCTTGTTTCGGGAGTCAGAGGTAACTTTCCAGCCAGTGGGGTTTGCAGGCCTTTGTCCCAACTCCTCCCAGCACCACCCCCGCCTCCAGTCAGCCTCCTGCCTTCGTCGCTGAGGGAAACAGTGGGCCCTTGTTTCTCCAAGTCCGGAGCTCCGAGCTGTGTGCGGAGCAGCGTCCAGCATTGGCCTCACAGGATGGCGTGACTTGGAAGTGTGGCACCCACAGACCTCCTCCGGCCACAGCGGGCAGCCCTTTCATTGACACATCCTTGTTCCTGGCCAAGGGACAGATCGGACCCCTTCCGCAGAAGAGAACAAATTCCTGGGAAAGTTCCCTTCTCTGGAGGCGGAGTGTGGTCAGAAAAACAAGATGACAGTTGACGTGAGCTCCCTTCTGCCCGAGCCCCCTCCCCACCCGATCTGAGACATGAAACCTGGCCCACCAGGGTCCCTTCCTCGGCAGTGTCCTGGGTTCTTGGGAGCCCAGCCACTCCCCCACCGTGACCCTGCCTGAGCGCCCCTCCTGTGGGGCACCCCCAGAGGACCCACCTTCTCCTTCCCAGCCAGCAGGGAGAGACCAAAGTCCCCTTGAGGTATCTGCAGGAGGATAGACTCCTCAGGGTGATCATGGCTTATCAGACTATGAGAGGAGAAGCCGTGCTGGGGAACCTTCTGGAGCCAGAGACCGCTCCACTCAGGCCTCGGCAAAGATGCTGCAGTGAGAGACAGCTGAGCCAGGACCAGACCAGACCTGATGTGTGTCCCAAGTTCTTGTGAAATGGTTTTATTGGCATAAAAATGCTTGAAAAATACACAAAGGAAGGTGGCCGGCTTCCAGAACTCAACTGTTTACCTTCGGTGGAGCGGCCGGGAACGCGGAGAGCTTATTTTCCCAACAGCCATGGCTGTCAGGTCTACAGGCTGCAGGCTGATGCCAGGCAGGAACGGGCCAGGGGCGTCTCCTTTGTCCACCTCCTCCCCCACAACCACGGGGACACGTTTGTGTCCCCTCATGCTGCACAGGAGACCTGGACGCTTCTCTTCGGAGGAGTGCATGCTGCTGCGGACGGACCTTCCAGCAGGTCCCAGCATCTCCCGTGCGACCCAGTTCTCTTCTGTTTCCAGCTGCCTTGGCCTGAAAATATTGGCCTCCTGCTTGTGGTACCTGTCACGGAGGAGCCACGGGTCACAAACATGGGCTGAGGTCTGTGGCATCTCCTGGGAATTTGCTGTTCTTTGCCCAGGTCACCACTTCCCACCGGCTTTGGTCCCTCCTTCCAATTCCGTTTCTTGTTTTGTTTTGTTTTCCTGGGAAGTGGGGTTGGATGGGAACGTAATACCGAATCCACAGACAGAACCAAAGGGCCCTTGCAGGTTCCTGTGTTTGTCGAAGGGGAGACTGAGGCCCGGGGGGCCGATGGGCTGGTGCACAGGCCCAGGGCGCCGGGCAGCGGGGCTGCAGGCTGAGCACACAGGGCCTGCCGTTCCGCCTCCATCCGGGGCCCAGCTGGGCGCTGCCCAACCACGGGGCCTCACCTGGCCGCTTGGTGGGTGCCTGGGGCTCTTGGTGTCCTGGTCTGTGACGGTGACAGCGTCACCCTTAGCTCTGGGGTTTGCTGTGAGGACAGCATGTACTGCTTCCCTGTCCCACCCAGGAGCCCTAGAAGGGATGGTCGGCTTCCCAGCTAGTCCGACCTCTGTTCTGTTCTGGATACAAGCCAGTCACTGTGCGGCGGGAGGTCTTCAGTATTGTGAGGTTCGAGGGACTTTAAAAAAATGTCCATTTGTTTTTGAGAGAGAGAGAAAGAGAAGAGAGAGGGAGTGCAGGGGAGGGACAGAGAGGGAGGGAGAGAGAGAGAGGAATCCAAGCAGGCTCCGTGCTGTCAGCACAGCTCCTGGTGCGGGGCGGCTCGATCTCACCAGCCTTAGGATCATGACTTGAGGCGAAATCAAGAGTCAGACACTTAATCAACTAAGTCACCTAGGTGCCCTGGGATTTTTTCTTTTTTTAATAGGGGGAACCCCTTAACATCTTTTCTGGCAGATACTAAAAACAATAACAACCACAACAATAACTAGGAGTTAAGGGTAACACGAGGAAAGAGCTGGTACTTTCTCAAGGTTTAATTAGATAAGAGTTTAAGAGAGGGTGACAGGTGTGGGCTGGGTCACAGCAGTCAGCAGGATGTGGTGGGGCACCCCGAGTGGCAGGCTGTCACTACCCCAGGCCGGAGGGGATACGGGGAGGGAAGGTGGTGTACGGGGGCCCCGTGGAGCGGTGTCTGCTCGACAGGGATGGTGGCTGCTGACAGAACTATGGCGAGGCTGTGAGGACAGTGGGACAGACAGCCAGACTTTCCTCTCTCCCATCTTCTCATGTGCCTCCAGTGGGCCACGCGGCCAGAGGACAGGGCAGCCAGGTGGTTGTGGCGCTAGAGGACCACCTCCCGAGGTCCGGGTGGGTCAGGGATGGGGGTGGGGGCACTGAATGACACACCCTGCTTTGCCTGTGCACGTGAGCGCCACCACTTCTCACTGGCAGATCCTAGGGAGGTTTCAAAAGTCCGTATTCCCCACTCTCTTCATTTGTAAAGTCAATTCTTATCCTCATGGTTGGAACATGAAAACGTATTTTTATCACGTTTCCTGCCTAGAGTGAACATCTGTAGCTGTCATTGTGATTTCTTTACTAGCAACTTGGAAACAGTCAGCCTTGACTTCTGGAGGGAGCCCCACTTGTGTGGGGATGAGTGTAGGGTCGGGGCTGGTGGCTTTCTCTGGCCTCTGCTGAGGCCGTCCAGGGGGTCAGCCAGGTGCCGGGCTGGCGCCGCTGCCTCCGAGGGGTCGGCCTTGCAGGTGGTGGTGGCCGTGTGCCGGCCGGCAGACATCTGGCGGGTCAGGAAGCGTGGTGTCCGGCCGCCCCGGCTGTTGGCAGGTGCTCCTGTCTTGGGGTCAGGTGATGCCGACTGTCAGCCGGGCGGCTCTGGCTCCCTGGGGATGTGATCTTCTTAACCCCGAGTTCTTGAAAAAATAAACACAGCCCCCAGTGGAGCGGGGCCAGCCGTGCCTCCCGGGGTCCCTCACTGTGTCCATGATGAGCCCTGATTTCCATGTGACGTGCAAGCTGCCGGTCCGTGAAAGCAGCACCCCTTTGGTTCATGAAGATCACAGCTTTGCTGAGAACGTGTAGTTTCGTGGGAAGAGTATCTCCTTAGATCTCAGTTTAGACCGGGCTGTGTGACTTGAGAGCCCTCGTCTCCTCCCTACCTGAAAAGTCCAGGTCATTGAGCAGACGAGACGCGTTCAGGATACATTTTCTCTGTCCAGGGATTTCGTAGCTACCCTCGCTTGACCGGTGGCTGCCTCGATTCCGTGTGTGTGTCTTCTGTATGCGGGGTAGCGGGGCACTCGGGGCCACAGACACAGACGCGGGGCCTGCCCCGGAGCTCCGGGACCTCAGCGGGTGTGCGCCCTCTGTCCCGTCCGTGTTCCCCAAGAGTGTTTCCCCGGCGTGGAGGGCTGGGCGGAGGGGTGGGGACTACAGCGGGGGCAGCGGGCTCTGGCGCTGAACTTGTTCTTCTTCTTGTCCTCCCCGCTCCCCTCAGCTGAACCTCAGCCGGCCGATCGAGGAGCAGGGCCCCCTGGACGTCATCATCCACAAGCTGACCGACGTCATCCTCGAAGCCGACCAGAACGACAGCCAGTCCCTGGAGCTGGTCCACAGGTTCCAGGTGGGCAAGGAGGGAGGGCCGAGAAGGGCTCCGCACATCCCGACCGCCGCAGCGGCCGTCCTGCCGAGCAGTGCGTGGTGGCGGCTCTCCTGCTGCCAGGACACGGGCCTGGGGTCACGTGCGTCCCTGCCAGGGCCTTGGTCCCCGTGGGTGTGAAATGGGGTCCAGCCCAGGGCATGGTCGGCACCCCCTCTGCTCTCTACCTGTGTAGACCAGAGCACTGCAGAGTCCGGATGTGGACCCCACACCCTCAGCACATAGTCACGGTCAGTGGTTCTCAGTTGGCGTAAGGGGTGGGACCCTCTTTGAGAAAGGGACCCTTAGGGGCCTTTGAAGTAGAACAGCCTTGGGGCCCCTGGGGGGCTCGGCCAGTTAAGCGTCCGGTTCTTGGCTTCAGCTTAGGTCATGATCTCACAGTTTGTGAGATTGAGCCCTGCATCAGGCTCTGTGCTGCCAGCACGGAGCCTGTTGGGGATTCTCTCTCTCTCCCCGCCTGTCTCTCTCTCTCTCAAAACAAGTAAATAAACTTGAAGAAACAGGCTTACTGGCCCCGAGTTCTGCCTTGATGGGGATCCCCCTTGCTGTGCCAACTGCTTTGATCCCTGCATACCATCTGAGCATGGACTGGATGCTCTTGGCCAGCTCCTCCCCCCGGCCCCATTTCCTCCCACAGCCTTGACCCTGCGGTGACCCACCCGCCAGCTTGGGAGGTGCTGCCTTTGCCCCCGCTGCCTTGCTCTGGGTTTTTCTCTGTTGTGGACAAGACATTGATTCATTGCTCTGGAAAGCAGCTCGAGGGGCACGAAAAACAAAGTCATACTATCAGTGAAAATGCAGCCAGAACTGAGGGCCTTCATGACAGGAGGGGGCGCTTGGGCGAGCTCTTGTCAGCGTGTGATGATTGGAGATTTGACGTCCTGTCTTTCTCTATCAGGACAAAGGGGACTCTCCTTAGCCTCCTCGCCACGCAGTAGCCCTGCTGCCAACACCATTTTCTTTCCCCCGTGTTGCCTCCCTGTGGCCCTCACCCCCTCCTCGGCCAGCTCAGGCCACTTCTGTGCAGGCGGCCCAGAAGCAGGTGTGGCCTGCTCATAGCCCTGCTGGTACCATGCCAGGCGTGGGGGGCGGGGGCGGGGGTTGTCCCCAGGTCGTGCCCTCCAGGGCCTTTGCTTTGCCCACCACCCAAAGTCCCTCCCGATGTCACAGGGCAGGAGGCTGTGGGAAAGGCGCATTTAGGCTTCTCTGTGACCTCCTGAGTCTTTGTGTTCTTATCTGTAATATGGTATTTGGATCAGGAAAACCTCGTATGCTGTTGGCGGGAGTACCGCTCCGGCCGAGCAGGTGCTTAGTAGAAGTTCACGGCCGTTTTGATCACGTGACCTCATGGAGCCTTTGTTTCCTCTTCTGTAAAATGGGGAGGATGCTAGCTCCTGCTCCTTAGGATGGACTGGTCGCTGTGAGAAGTAAAGGTCCGTGTGTATAAGGGAGCTGCTTCGGCTGCTAGCACTCGAGTACAGCCACCGCTGTGACTCAGGTTCCTGCTGTCCTCCTAGATGAAGGGCCTTAGCCCCCAGCTGCCCCAGTGCCCTGGGAGTTAAGGAAGACCCATCCCGTGGGGGGACTGCCATCCCTACTTCCCGTAAACACACGCACAGCCCACAGCCCAGGCCAGGGGTGGCCCAACAGCAAAGGAGAACTGGGACGCCCATGTTATGTTCTGGGTAGAAGAGAAAGTTATGGAGAGAACATGTCAGGGGATGTGGGGACGTGTGGCTTCAGAGTTTCAGCCACCGGGGGCATTTCCCAGGGAAATCTTGACTGGGTCCCCTGGAGCCTGTCCCAACCAGGGCACACACTCTCGGCCTGCCCTCAGATGACTGCGGTGACCTCAGTATGACCTTCCAGCCTTGGTATTTTGGGGATAAATTTTCACTGTGCTCTGTGCTTGAGCATGAAGCCGGATATCTGATAAGGCCAGCACGTTTCCTCCTTTGTGAAGAGAACAATCCTTTAGGGAAAAGGGTGACAGGCTGAGCTTTCCAGAGGCCCCAGAGAGGGGACAGGCGGGGGCCGGTGAAGAGAAGGACCCAGGGACGCAGGTGAGGGCTAGGGGAGAGGCCCGCTCGGCTACACTCTGGCCTCTCTCCTGCCACCAAGTCACTGTCCAGCACTGACCTGGTCACCCGCTTCTGCTGTAGGATTCAGAGCCACGCCAGACAAACTGGCACTTGACCTTGGTCACGTCCCTTGTTTTCAGATTCTTGTTTTAATACATATGCTGGACTTCAGCGAGGAGACGTTGGCTTGGGTGGGTGAGGACCACAGGGTCGGTGGTGGGGAAGCAGTGTCTGGGGCTTGGCTTCACAAAGCTGGCCTTTCCGCAGTTTGTTGTGAATAAGGAACCAGAGTAAGATGGTTTGTCCCCAGAAGGGGCTTATCTTGAGGCGCCTTCTTCAGGTGGGATACTCAGGTCCCAGGCAAAGTGAGTCAAGGAAGAGGAGGCTCGGAGGTGTTCCTGACCAGCCCTAAAGCATCCTGCTCCCGGGGTGCTGCCGTGAGGGCCTCTAGCTTGGGCTAGAAAGGACTTCTCAGAGCCGAGAGGTTATGCTTTTTTCCTGGCTGCCTTTGAGGACAGGTTGGAGGGTGTGGGCCTGGGGTTCACTGCGGATCAGGAAAGCTGGTTGCCATAGAAACCACTCCCCTAGTCTTTTTTATTTATTTTATTTTTTTTTAAATATTGGCCCCAAGAGAGCTTTGCTTGGAGAATTATCAGGATGATTCAGTTGTTTTTCTGCACCAGGGTTCACATGGAGCCTGCAGCCTGGTGCTGTTGTGGCTCGGCCCCGAGAGCCATCGATCAGTGCACAGACCTGGGGGTCCCTGCCCATGTGGGTGAGCAGGGCTGTGGTGTGGGAGGGGCCCTGCCTCTCAAGCTGTTTTCTCAGGGAAGGAAGAAGAACCTTTTTCTCACTGTGGTGCCCAGGGCAACCTGGCGGGGGTGGAGGGGGGCAGGGGGCAGACCTTCTGCCGCCTCTTCCAGTCCCAGAGTTGCCCAGAGGGGTTACAGTGATTGTGTTCTGTGGGGCATGCAGAGCTTTCTAGGAGGATCGTCCCGGGGCTCTCCCTGAACGAGCTTGGAGAGCTTGGAAGAACGAGGTTTGAGTTTGAACTGACACCTCTTCTCCTCCTGACTCGATTGGCTGGGAGACGGTGAAGCATTCCACAGGTAGTCCTGGGACCCCTCGTCTGAATACCGGAGCTGTGCTGTGCACAACATGGTTCTCGTGCTTGGAATTCCTTCTTCATGCCCAGCTGTCAGCTCAGGTGCCCCTTCCTCAGGGACACCTCCCTGATTATCTCACTAATGACATACCTGCCATCCTAGGCCCTCATAGTTTTATGCTTTTCCTTCCCTCGCTTTGGAAGTGCAGAATGCTTTATCAGTCCTTACTATCAGTCTCTCTCTCTCTGGGAATCATTATAAGCTGCACAGGGGCAGGGATTGCATCTGCTCCAAACTCACCGGGTATCCTCATTGCCTTCCATGGTGCCTGCTACGTAGGAATTGCGCCCACGTGTTTGTGAAGTGAAAGAGCACTGCCAGTGTGGGTGTTGTGCAGGGCGTCCTGGTGGGTCAGAGAAAAGAGCAGCTGCCTCCAGGGGGCACTTGGGAGCGGGACCCGGGGAGGGCTTATGAGGCAGATCGAGCTGCCTGTAGGGAGCCAGTGGGGATGCCTCGGGGTGTGAGGAACCTCAGGAGGAACAGGCTGGGGAGACGGGGCTTTTTGCTGCCAGGCTGGGGAGCTTGGACTTTACCCAGCAGGCCAGGGGTTAGGGCGAGAAGATCAGATTTCACCGGAATGAGAGAGGACCCGCTTAGGAGGGGGACGTGGCCAAGGCAAGATGAGCTCTGAGCAGTGAGGACACCGCAGTCATTGGGGCCTGGCAGTCTCTGCAGGGAAGAGGGAGCTCGTGCCCTAGAGCTCAGCAGTGCTCCCATCTGTGATCCTGGGCGCCCCTGTGACAGGCCTATGAGGGACAGTGCCCTACTCCCCTCTCATGTCCCCAGGCAGTCCTTTGATTGTGTGAAATGGATCTGGGAAGGGAGGAGGCATGCTTTGCACATTGGTTTTTTTCAACCATTGTTTTGCCTGAAAGGAAACCGCTTTTTGAATCAACCCTCAGTAGCCGGGCTCCCCACCCCCCACCCCTTATCTTGAAAAACCTGTTTATTGAGATATAATTCACACGCGATTCCATTCACTCATTTAAAGTGGACAATCGATGGGTTTTAGTGTATTCATAGATCTGTGCAGTCCATTTTAGGACATTTTCATCACCCTGACAAGAAACCCCAAACCTTTACCACCTCCTGTCCCGGCCCTAAGTAGTCACTACTTTCTGTCTCTGTAGATTTCCCTCTTCTGGACTCTCATAGGAACAGAATCATACAACACTTGACCACTTGGGACTTCCTTCTTTCATTCAGCGTAACGTTTTCCAGGTTCATCTCTGTTGTAGTGCAAAACGGTGCTCCCTCCCTTTTGATGGCTGAGTAACCTTCCACTTGGATACACCACTGTGTATCCAGGCATCCGGTGACAGGTTTCCATCTCCTGGCGGTTAAGAATACCACTGCCATGAGCTTTTACGTGCACGTTCTCGTTCCTTCTGGTAATACACACCCAAGAGGGGGACTGCTGGGCCATGTGGCAACTGTTCACTCGGTTCAGGAGCCGCCAGACTGTTCTTCCTAGAGCTGCGCTGCCTTACGTTCCCACCAGCTGTGCGGAGGGGTTTTGCCTTCTCCGCATCCTCACCAGCACCTATCCACTCTGATTTGAGCTCTCCTAGCGGGGCTGAAGTGGGATCTTGTGCTTTTGATTTCAAGTTCCCTGATGGTGGCTGATGCTGGCAGGTATCTTTCCGTGTGGTCATTAGTCATTTGTAGCCCTTCCCGTAGCCCTCCTTAGACTTCCTGCTTAGATGTCTGGAGCCCA